TCGGTGTTTAAAAAATCGGTAACACTTATAGATTAGTTATCATTTACTATCAACAAACTGCACTTCTACAGCATTGTTAATATTAATGTAAATATTTAGAGAGTCTGTATAGGCCCACTATATGTGTTGTAGCCATTAAAAAAGCGCATTTAGTTTCATTTTTGTTAAAATATTATAATGTTATTTTTTTCACATCTATGCTGATTATGAAAATTGAACAGCATGAGTAAGATGGATGCGCAATATATCGGAAGATATGATGGGTCAGACATGATTTTGACCACTAAATTCAGTTTTGTTTTGTAGAAAGCCTTTCTTTAAAGTGAATTTCGTTTTGTATAAATTGTATCTTAATTTTAATCAATTTTTCATTAACCAATTGCCTGGATATATAATAAATAAGAAGCAAATAGCTGACAATATGATCATGGAGGCACGGGCGCGATTGCATTGCACATGAGCTGGAGCATCTCATTATAAATTTTGCTCATTTAAATAATAGTGTGTGTGTGTGTGTGTGTGTGTATGTAGCCTATATATATATATATATATATATATATATAGCCTATATATATATAATTGCGCAGCTCCCCCTGTCAATCATCTAGCACCCCCTCTGCACCTGCGTTAAAAATTATCTGGCGCCGCCCCTGAAAAGGCCTGTTGAAAGGCCTTTGGTTGTGGATAATAAAATATTTCTGCAACATTAATCAAGTTCATTGATAATTGTGCTTGCACGTGTTAATCATTTTGATACTATATTTTGATACAGCACTTTGGCCAACAGCTGTTTTTTTAAATGTGCTCTATAAATAAATATGACTGACTATATTCATTCCATACGCTTTCGTCATTGGCGAAGCAGTCAGTCAATCCCACCTTTCCAGTAAATACGACTTGTGATTGGACTGTACGTCAGCAGACAGCAAAGCATTGGCCAAGAGCAGAAGGCCCTCCCTCCAGGCTTTTTTTTAAGTTGCGAAGCTTCATTTTCGCTCAGTCTGAGTTTCAGAGTTTCAGAGCAGAACTGCGTGACAACGCTGCCACAAATCACGTGAGTCGCAAGCTCGCAACTGTGTGGGCGTATCTCCGCAAAGTGGGTGTTGTAAACTCAGCTCTGAAAAAATAGTCTGCAATAGGAGTGCACATGTAATGTAATGTAATAAGTTTCGCCCTTTCGAACCTCAGTTTTCAGAGTTTCAAAACTTTTTTTCACTTATTCGCACACCAGTTTTCAGATCACCATTTACAAGGTTTCAAATCTGGAAAACAAACTATACACTGGGAGAACAGTGACAAATTCGAAACTCTGAAAAAATAATTGCACAACACCGTAAAAAAGAGTGTTGCACTTCTGAAGAAGGAAAACTCAAAAACAAAATTATGTTTGCAGAGATTTAAAAAAAATTTACCCCTTTGCAAGCCTGCAAAAGTCTGTTTTCAGAGTTTCAAAACTTTTTTTCACACATTCGCACACCAGTTTTCAGATCACCATTTACAAGGTTTCAAACCTGGAAAACAAACTAATACAGTGGGAGAACACTGACAAATTTGAAACTCTGAAAAATTGTTTGCGCAACATCGTAAAAAAAATGTTGCAGTTCTGAAGAAGGAAATCTCAAAAACAACATAATGTTTGCAGAGAAATTTTTATTTTTTTTACATTTTGCAAGCTTGCAAATCTTATTTTTCGATCTTGCAAAACTTTTTTTTGTAAGATTTTGAGTTTTCGAACACTTAGTTTCAACCTTTCAGAACTTTATTTTCAGTTTTGAATCATGGCAGGATATTAATCCCATAGAACTGTAAAGGCTCCGCCCTCTTCTGGAAAGGGGGCGGAGAGCAGCAGCTCATTTGCATTTAAATTTACACACACAAAAAGTGTGTATTTTTGCTAACACCCAAATAGGGGCAAATTGGACATGCTATAATAAATGATCTGTGGGGTATTTTGAGTTGAAACTTCAGACACATTCTGGGATGATAATATGTCCCCTTTAAGGCTACAGAAAGTAAAGTAACCATGGTAAATACACAATACTAACATGAACTGTTAATAAAACAAATTCATCCTGATTTCCATAAAACATCCTGCTGAATAGGATGAACATCATAACGGCCTGCAAACCCGTGTCGTACCAGCTACATAATATATTCGTACCAGCTACATAATATATTAATACTTTTTGGTAATTTCATGACTTAGTAATTGACGACGTAACTAAGACGTTGCATGTTCGTAATTTTGCTTTTTTATATATAGTGAATTGATTTACAGCGTGCGCAGTATAATGTCTGACAAGACGGGAAAGTTCGTTTTTCTGAGGTGACAGACTTTTTATTTTGTAACAAGTTATGAAAAATAACATTAGCATAATGACACTGACATATAGCCGGACAACATGTCATCTCATCTGAGTGCAGATACTGAATCAGTACAATGCATTTCTTCACTTAAACTGCGTCTGACAGAAGAGTCAACAACTTTGTCATGGTCGTCTTTCAAAATAAAAGTTTCGCATCAGAAAATCATTTAGAATTAAGTTTTTTGTTATGGTTGTTGTTTCTTCGACTACACACTCCACGACCCGCTCAAAAAGGTCTTGCAACCAGTTGAGAAACCCTGCTCTGAACGAACTACACTACTGTTGATATGGGTCGTGTAGGTTTAGAATTAAGAGGCATGTGATGGTGTTGAGCTTTAGCTTTTAGATCTTATTCAATACTTTTCACATGACTGTGTTAAGTAATAATTAGAGAAAAGTGTATCCTATGAAAAAAATTCCAAGTATGCATCTAGCAGACACTTTGAATTTTCAGTAAACAAAAGAAACCTGGAGTAACCCGGCTTCAGTGACACTGATATACAAGTGGAAACAAAGTGACTCTTCAGCCACAATCACAAGAAAATTGAGGATATTCCTATTTGAAATGGGAAATTGCTACAACACGACATAGGCATTGACCAATGAGTCAGGTCCAGTTGTGCTCTGGGAAATACACTTCGCTGTTTTTCTCTTTGATTTCAAACACCCTCGAAATGTATTTTACTCATTCCTATTTATCAAACTCTCCGCCAGAACATCCTTTAGTGTGTAGGTACCGAAAATGTCTTGCTCAAAGGCACAATGGTGTGTCAAATGTCTTTGCTAATCCGTTTGTTTTCGGGTCTTAAGCACTTTTTCAGATCCCAAATGCAAACGGTGCTAATATAAAAAGTGTGCTGTAAAAAAAATCATGCTCATAACCTTTATCTCCATAGTGAAATCTCAGTTGGCCATACAGTGGTTTAAATCAAAATAGTTGTGTTCAAGGACGCCATGAGCCCGGAGACTGTAGTGTACTCTGTGTGTTTGGAAAAGCTTAGCTTCAATGTGTGCTGTAAATAGATGGTGCACATACTAAATGGCTGTTGAGATGGTATTCTCAGAGTTGAGCTGCACAATTTGGCCAAAATATTTTAGTATATAATATACTTGTCATATAGTGTGATTGTGCAATGATAAATTTTTCATTTCATACAAAAAACATGTAATCTTTAGCTTTTTAAATCAGTTGCAAATCAAATTTACTTACATTTTGCATTGAGCAGCTGATTATTAGTGTCTAAGCACAGCCAACAAACCTATGTAGCCTACATTTGATCCAGTAGTCAATTTCCTGCATTATAAATGCAGAGTTTGTGAGAATGATTAAAACAAAACCCGCAATCCCATGCTAAAATTGGGTATCAAATGTTATTTTACCTGACATGCACAGACGGAAAAGACAGTATCATTCAATTAATAGTCTCACACGGAAAGATTTTGACTAGCCATACTGCAGAACCCGGCCCACTTAGTGAACCGACTTAACCCCGGGTTACCGTCGCTCTAAACTCCATTTTTAACCCTGGGTAGAGGAACGTTTCACACTTGCAAAGCAGGGTTATCACGCTTTTTACCCATGGTGCAAGCATGTGCAGTGTAAAAAGATAGATGTTAGAATAATGTTAGAATAGCTATGTTTCCATCCACCTATTTTTAGGCTCATTTTGGGATATCACATCAAAAACTGCTGGATGGAAATGGCAAGATGCGCATACATTAAAAAAATGCGCATTAAAAACGTATGCGCTCGTTTAAGTCAGATAAATAAAATTATCCGATAAGAAAACAGGCGCATTAATTGCGATGGAACACATTTACCGAATAAATTCCTTGATGCACATCAAAAAAATCACGTGGCTTTGCGCGATTGGACGACATAACTGGACTAACCATCGGACCGGTCTCGTTGCACAGCATCTGAAATGCTGTTTTGGTTGTTCTGAAATACCTCAACAAACTCTGTCGCCAAAAGGGTTCGGTATAATTCCCTCCCAGAACTCCCTTACACGACCACGTTCCTAAACTGCAGCATCTGCCTCCGAAAGCAAGATAACACGTTCAATGCATTTCGCCTGCACTCTCTGATACAGAAGTCATTTATTATATACAGAAATTATTATATACAGCGACTTCTCCTACTTTTCTTAGTGATATTTACCAGTTTATCAGGAAATTTGTTTTTCTTCTCTTCGATTTGCTTGATGGAAACGGTGCTTTATTTGCAAATGTTTTATGCGATATTACAATTTGATTTTGCAACTTTGTATAGAAAAAAAGCTAATGTTATGACTAGATGCTTAGAAACAGACAGCCAATCACGGACCTCATATTCACATGCTTTGGATAGTCATGGAAACACTGCGTGTTGTATAAACATTAGTTTCATGGGAAATGTGTCAATTGAAGTTACCCTCAGCCTAAAATTAATTCAACACTGCCATGGCCAAAGACTGTTGTGTAAAATACAAATAACTCCTAAAAATAAATGTCATCATTTACTCACCCTCATGTCATTCTATGCATTTCTCTGTCTTATGTAGAACTCAAAATAATTCTCATTTTTGAGTAGCTATGCCCAGAACATATTTGTTGCCATGTATTGACATGCATGTGTTTTGCTGTTATCGTTAGAAACATCACTCAGATCCCAAAGGCTCAGACAGACTGACGGAAACACAGATGCACGTAGACGACTTGAAAGGCATTATGGTCCGGAACATTGGTGAGACTGAGTCACTTTAATCACTTTTTTATAAATGTCAGTGAACGTTTGAGTGAATATGTGCTGCATTGTGCTACTGTAGATCTCGTAGCTCAGAGAGGAGAGAGGCTCGAACTGCTCATCGATAAAACCGAGAACTTGATGGATTCTGTGAGTTTTGGTTTTATGTCTCGTTTGAAACATATTTGTTTATGTCACTGTATAATATGTATGCTGATGAAAGTTTCTCTTGTCTGTGCAGTCTGTCACCTTTAAAACAACAAGCCGTAACCTGGCCCACGCCATGTGTATGAAGAACATGAAGTTAACAGTCATTGTCGTAATAGTCGTGCTGGTAAGTTCTGGAGCGGACTGTAGGTTTATTGTCAGTACGTCTCACTGCAGTAATGGACAAGCCCAAGAGCGTCACAGCAATAACTATATAGTCACAATTACTAAACCCTCTTTTGGCGTTGAAAAACTAATGTCAGGATTTACTAAAGACAAGAAGTGTAAAATTAGCACTTAAAAGGCGTGGACACAGTTATTTTTGCGGCTGACCTTATTGCACATGCATTTGTAGGAGTTTCCCTTTCAGGTGCCAAATTTATGGGAGGATAATATTTAAATGAATCATGCAAGGTGATTTACTAAGGCTAGTCTATTTTTTGCGCCATTATTTACCGCACTTAAAAAGCATGTCTTAAACCGGACGCTATTTTGCGCTGCTCTTGGTAAATTGTGTTGGTTATTATGAAATTAGTCCTAGTGAAATTAGTTCTTTAATTTGCGTCAGTAGATCACGAGCAGAACTTTACACTCCCATCTGTGCTTTTATAGAGTTGCGCTCTTAAGCTAATTTGCCCTGTTTAGTAAATCTGGTCCTATATCTCAATCTTTGTTTTTTCTTCTGAAATTGTGTAGAAGACTGATTTTCTCCCCATTTAAACCAAATTAATTATAAAATGTCTAATGCAATAAAACAGAATAAAAATCAAGTGCAAAATAATCAAGACATGTTCTCCACACTACACACCTGAACAAGCTAATCAATGTCTTCAGGATCACTAACCCCTTATTTACACTGCACACGCGCGGCACGGCTACCGGAGCTGATCGCGCCCACTCTAGTCGATGCTTGTGTTTACACCAGCCGGGACGCGGCGCGTTTCAGAAGCGGCTCTCTGTGCTGTTTCGCTAAACATAGGCGCTGAGTCTATTTGCGACGCACGCCGCGTCCAAATCACATCGCACAGTAAATACAAAATAAAATAAAAAAAAACACTGTCAATTTCAAAATGAACACCCTGTGCAGACTCCATTGTATTGCACACCAATATATCCTTGGTAGAAACCCCAAAATCAAGAAAAAACACGTCGGACAGGCAAATCACGTGGTCTCTCGCATCCAGTCGCTTCGCTTCTGAAATGCTCCTGGTGTGAGTTGGCACCGTGTGGAGGACGGAACAAAACCTCGTCGGAGCCGTAACGCCCCGTACGCATGCAGTGTAAATAAGGGATAAGGGTCTGTTTACACAACACCGTTTTCAACTAAAATCGTAAAACCTTTTATGCGTTTTGGACGTTCGTTTACATGACAACGGCGTTTTGGGTGCAAGCTTTTTAAAAACGGTCTCCGTGTAAACAACAAAAACGCGATTCTCTGAAGGCGATGACGTCATGCACACACATATTACGTGTTCAGTCTATAGTGTTTCATCGCCATCTAACGGCCTGGCAGCAGAATACAGGTTTTTTTTGTCGTTTTCGCGGATCCGTGTGAATGGCGATTGTCTTGACAATGATGTCGCCTGTACGTGAAAAACTCAAAGGAAAAACTTCTTTGTTTTAAACAAATCGTTGTCGTGTAAACGTACCCTGAGGATACAGGCAGGTGAGGGGTTTTCCAGCTGAACTCTGCAGGACAGCGGCTCTCTAGGACCGAACTTGCCCAGCCCTGCTCTAAATGAACCTTAGAAAGACTGATATGTAATGATACTTCTGTCAACATTTTTCACTTTTTCTTCTGCCACTGTTTGAGCTGTTGTAATGATCTTGCTCTGTCATGCTGGTCAAATTACGCAAGAACAGCAATGTTTTAATGTTGCCAGGAAGCTGCAATGCATTCGTTTTAATGGACAGAGATAACTATAAACAAGCTATACACATTCAAAACAGATTATAATACCAAATAAATTACATATTACTGTATTACATTTTTGCTACAACTTGTCCCTAAACTGTGTAAATGAATGTCCAGTACAAAGAGTTACATTATTATTTACAACATATATGGTCATAACAGTGGAGGCTCAAATATTGGCACCCTTGCACTTTTTACAAGTAATCCACTATCAACAGTTTCTTACTGAAATTGCTAAATGAAACTAAATGAAAAAAAAAAAAATTTGAATTAGAAATTAAATTAGAGCACAGGCAGCTGTAGCTGTAGGTCTACTGCAATTGAAAGATTGCAATTAATACTGTCCTCAGTATTAATACCTGTCCTCAGTATTAATACTTGTCCTCAGTAGTGCTCATTGGCTTTTAGCGAATATCTGTGGAATCATTCGTGCCACTTTTTGACATCCTGTGGTGAAAATTTTGTAACGTTTCTTAATAAAATGCTTTAACTGCATGTGAGGAGCCCAGACGTACAGTAGTGATTCTAGTAAATGATGTTCTTCTGGTTTTGTCTTATCGTGTCAGGTGGTGCTGTATTTTATCGTGACGGCTGCCTGTGGAGGACTCAGCTGGCCCAGCTGTCGGAAGCAGTAGAAACCTTTAGTATGCAAGACCACTCATTCTGCCAACTCACCTCAGAGACTTACAAACACAGGACAGCACTAAACTCTTGCAGTGTTTCCTGTGCGCTTACAAACCACACATCATTGTCTTTTCACATTGATGTTAACCGTCTAGTTTTGATTCTTTGAGTTCTTTTCACGGTGTTTTAATGCAGTTCAAAAAGATGGGGAGTTTAAAGGAGTAGTCCACCAATAAATGAAAATTCTGTTGTCATTCTTTTTTCTGCGAAACACAGGAGGTGTTAATTCACGCTGCTCATCATCATTACTATACTACGAAAATAGAAGGGGATTTATTCTGTTAAGTTAAAAAAAGAAAGTGCCATAAAAGTTGTCCATATTACTCATGCACTATATGCAGTGTTTTCTGAAGCCATATAATCGCTTTGTGTGAGGACCAAAATTAAAGTCGTTATTGACAGATCTTCTCCTCCTTCGTAGAGCTTAATTCTTCTTATTATTTTTTAAGTCCAAATTATATTTGTTACAGTTGGGTTTGTTCCTCACATGAAGCTATTGTATGGTGTGCTTGTGTTATGGACTACCTTTATGATACACCAGTTATATGATCTTATTTTATCTTATTTTGCAAGGGGGGAAAGCAAAGTAAATCATCTGCTAAACATCTCTATTTTCTGTGTTTCATGGAAGAAAGTAAGACAAATTGAATATGAGGGTGAGTTTTTTTTTTTTTTTTTTTGGATGGTTATCAACCCCATTCGTGTCTTGAAGGACAAAAGCATAACTGTGATGAAATAGAAATTCATGATTTTTAACAATGACCTGGCACATCTGTTTGATCTTTGTTTTAATTAGATTTTGATATATGCTGCTTACAATATCAGGATTTGTACTGTATGTTAATCTTTCACATTTATAGTTATCATACTGAAGGGAACTCCATGGTCCCTTACTTATACCAAGTTTATATTCTACAGACTTAACTAATGTCCGTCACCAAGATGGCTCGTGTTTGATTGATTGAGTAGCATATTTGTTTTTAAAGTCATCTGTATTAAACAGTATTCATGTGTGATATTGTTCATGCAGCACAGAACTAGTCTAATTCACAACTTACATGTTTTTGGGTGAATTTCACAAAACCTGTCAATAACATGTTTCACCCCAAGATTAAATAAAGAGGAAACTATATTGTTGCATAAAGAAAATGAAGACGATTTTAGGACCATTATTATTATTTTGCACTGTGACATTTTCTTAAAATTACCGCAAGGAAAAAAAAAAACACATGTTGAAACTTCCAATACTCACATAAAATACAACAGCTACACAGAATAATAACATGTATAGAACACAGAATAACATGTACAGAATACCTGCTATATACAGATTATTGTGAGTATTGAATGTAATGTGCAGAAGTGGTAAGAGTATGTACAGGCAGTGTGAAATTTGAATTTACATATTGTATTTAAGATTGAAGTGCTGTGAATGTTTGTACACACCATAAAAAGTGGATTTGTTTTTCCCCAACATATTAGGACTTACAAATGATACTTCGAATGTACATTTTGTAATAATGTGTACAGCGTAAATAAACAGAAATGCCCATATCTTGTATGGAAAAAGTTAGTACATCCTACATTTACCAATTAATTCATTATTTGTATATAATAGCACTTTTCACAATCCATGTTGTCTCAAAGCACTTTTCAGAAATGTATTCCTTTAAATCTTAAGTCAATGGTGACTGGCAAGGAAAAAAAACTCCATAACAAGTTTAAGTAAAAGGGGGGAAACAGTGAGCATGTCTGAGTATGTGTTCAATAAATAAATTATCAGTACATCAAGGGCCTAAAATTAAGGAACCATTAGTACAGTCGAGTGCAATGTAGTAGAATATTGTTAAAAAAGAAGGGCACATATTCCTCTTCGCTAAGATATACACTCACCGGCCACTTTATTAGGTACCCCATGCTAGTAACGGGTTGGACCCCCTTTTGCCTTCAGAACTGCCTCAATTCTTCGTGGCATAGATTCAACAAGGTGCTGGAAGCATTCCTCAGGGAGTTTGGTCCATATTGACATGATGGCATCACACAGTTGACGCAGATTTGTCGGCTGCACATCCATGATGCGAATCTCCCGTTCCACCACATCCCAAAGATGCTCTATTGGGTTGAGATCTGGTGACTGTGGAGGCCATTTTAGTACAGTGAACTCATTGTCATGTTCAAGAAACCAATTTGAAATGATTAGAGCTTTGTGACATGGTGGAAGTAGCCATCAGAGGATGGGTACATGGTGGCCATAAAGGGATGGACATGGTCAGAAACAATGCTCAGGTAGGCCGTGGCATTTAAACGATGCCCAATTGGCACTAAGGGGCCTAAAGTGTGCCAGGAAAACATCCCCCACACCATTACACCACCACCACCAGCCTGTACAGTGGTAACAAGGCATGATGGTTCCATGTTCTCATTCTGTTTACGCCAAATTCTGACTCTAACATCTGAATGTCTCAACAGAAATCGAGACTCATCAGACCAGGCAACATTTTTCCAGTCTTCAACTGTTCAATTTTGGTGAGCTCTTGCAAATTGTAGCCTCTTTTTCCTATTTGTAGTGGAGATGAGTGGTACCCGGTGGAGTCTTCTGCTGTTGTAGCCCATCCGCCTCAAGGTTGTGCGTGTTGTGGCTTCACAAATGCTTTGCTGCATACCTCGGTTGTAACGAGTGGTTATTTCAGTCACTGTTGCCCTTCTATCAGCTCGAACCAGTCTGGCCATTCTCCTCTGACCTCTGGCATCAACAAGGCATTTCCGCCCACAGAACTGCCGCTCACTGGATGTTTTTTCTTTTTCGGACCATTCTCTGTAAACCCTAGAGATGGTTGTGCGTGAAAATCCCAGTAGATTAGCAGTTTCTGAAATACTCAGACCAGCCCTTCTAGCACCAACAATCATGCCACGTTCAAAGTCACTCAAATCACCTTTCTTCCCCATACTGATGCTCGGTTTGAACTGCAGGAGATTGTCTTGACCATGTCAACATGCCTAAATGCACTGAGTTGCCGCCATGTGATTGGCTGCTTAGAAATTAAGTGTTAACGAGCAGTTGGACAGGTGTACCTAATAAAGTGGCCGGTGAGTGTATATATATATATATATCCTCATCTGGGTGGTATTTCAGAAAGCAGGTTATGCGACACACCCGGGTATATTTGTAGTTAATTAAACAGAAGCATTCAACAATCATTCCAAAAACTGAGGTAACTTTCAGGGTATGTAAGTAACATGACCTGTGCCGGTTAGTTTAGCATTATTATAACACAAACACATATTTGATTGAATTACTTGAACTCACAAATCTTGAAAACCATAATTTTTTTCATCACACACATTGATCTGCATTTAAAAGGTTTTCTTTTTTTGCTACTGGAAATAATATAATAAATTCTGCTATTAAAAAAAATCTAATATGTGATGCATCTCACCTTATCACAAAGGTGGAAGCAAACTAGCTAAAATAATGCAGCTCTTGAACCCTTTGGTCTCCAGGCGTAATCCTGGTCTCAGACAATAAAGCGGTGCAGGGATGAAGACAAAACCCGGAAGACTCATTTACCAGGGATTCCCTCAAGATTTTCAATTTATGAATAAAATAAGGTAAACAAATGGTAAAAAACTTGATGATACTAGGACGTTTTGTTCTACATATATATATAAAAAAAGATTTCCATTACACGAGAGTAGATGTTAAAACTTCCTGCTGATTTGTACTCGGCTTTCGCCAAGATAAGCAAAACTAAGACGTAGCTTTACAGTAAACTATGCTTCTCCATCCATTTACGCTTCTTTCCATAAGGTGGTGTGACTCCCCTTCTGTCCGGCGTTAACGGCAGCAGTGTACTTGGCGCGTCAGCGCACGCGACGGCTGCAACTACAGGACCAGCACGACAACCGTCTGGATTGAACCGAGTAGGGGACATCTCTAGGGTCTTCAAGTGGGCACCTTCCGTCCTCAGTGTTTCGTCGACTAGCCCACGACACCTCAAGAGGGCTCGACAGTGACTCTGGCGTCCCAGAGTCACCCCCCTCCGTCCCCCACTCAACTCAGCCCAGCTTACTGACCTCTACATCCCTCCTGCTGCTGAGACCTAACCACAATCTCACAATCTCTCCGCAACCCGACCATACGCGCCAACCCATTTGACTAAGGCTGTCGAGCCCCACTGGTGCGTTAATATGCAGTTTCAGTGGACAACGGTTCCGTATGGCATACCACCTACCGCAAAACACAATATCTGCCCAACCACCCGTCATTCACGCAATATCCACAGGAACGTATACAAACAAACCAACAGACTCTTCAAGTTTTCAAGAATTCTACGAAACCGTAGCGTGGCGGCCTGTACACAGCCAGCTAGAATCTTTCCGTCTCAACCACAGCCAGTTGCTGCTCCTTTCTGCTGCTTCAGATAAATTCTTTACTGTGCGACGCAACTCTTGGCCGCTGAATCCGATGTCTCTGAGGAACCGGGTTGTAGAGTGTGCCACAAAACCTCGACAACCCACTTCCAATGGATAAACCTGGACTCTCCATCCTCGCTGTTCTGCTTCAGTGGCCAGATGAGCATACCGCAGTTTCTTCCTCTCATATGCCTCATCTACTGCATCCTCCCATGGCACTGTTAACTCTATCAGTTGAACAATGCGTGCTGATCCAGACCACAAAACAATATCTGGTCGTAGGTTAGTGGTGGCAATCTCAGGTGGAAAAATAAGCCGTTGGTCAAGATCAGCCAGCATCTTCCAGTCCCTAGCAGCTTCCAGTTGTCCTGGGCGAGAATTGGTGTTAACACCTTTTCTTGGTGGTTGCTCGCCTGGGCGGAGGAATATTGTCTTCTGCGTGTAATGTTTTGCTAGAACAGGTGGCAACTTATTGGTCATGTTACGCTTGCCTTCTAATGCTAAAGCCAAACATCGCAGTACTTGGTCATGGCGCCAAGTAAACCGACCTTGGCTAAGAGCCAC